ATAGTTGGATTTCATCCTTTTTGTGACTCTATAAGACACAAGGAGCTATTATAATGATTGACCATGAAATTCAAACATCTAAGAGAGTAAGTAAATACATGAGGGAGAGAAAGACAATGGAAAGGCAGTGAAAATGTCTCAGTGGGGCAAATGGCGGTGGTGGATTACCGAAGGTCATGAGGTAGAAACAGAGGGTGAAGTGGTAAGACACTAGGATGTTTAAAATTAAGACTATGGCAAAACTGCAGTCATTGGTAATGACAACACGATTCATGTAAAGTGGGTAACACAATAATCAGGGCAAGGAAAGCAACGAACTGAGATGCCAGGATACTAGGTGATCATATATGTGGATATTGAACTACTAAGAATTATGGCAAGAGGGGTATTGGAGAAAACAACAGTGAACCACCAGCAAGTCTCCAAAGAATTCTGGGAGTGGTAGGAAATACCATGAGGAAATTGACCTGTAAATCTAAAGGGATTTACAAATAGGGGTTTACAAGACCTCCCAAAAGAGAAAAGATGTCAACTAATTTTGACATTTCTTTGGGATTCATATTTTGATTTCCAATGGTATATGAAAATAAATTCTCACTTTACAATGTTTTCAAAGCCTCTATTCTATTAGAGAGCTAAAAGGAAACCCAGCTTTGTGTTGTGATCAAGGCTCGCTGAATTTCTCAGCCAATGAAATGTTTATCAGCAGCATCTACTACACTTCCCAGCCTCCCACACCACTCTGGGGTCTCATGAGGATACAGAGGATACAGAGTCTTGGTCGTGTATTTCAACGATCAAAATACTCAAATAAAGCTAACTTTTATATTTGATCGTTGTCTCTCATATATTCCAGTACAGAGAGGTAAGGAGAGAAAAATCTATTTCTTAGTGCTGACAGGTTACATTTCTGGAAAAAAACAAAAACAACAAAAACCTACAATAGTTTCTTAAATAAATATTGTTTACCATTCACATTTAATAATACCTTTAAAACCTGAATGCTTTCCTGATACAGTAAGCAATTTCCTTTTGTGTTCTGGGACTTTCCCTGCTGATCCACAGGGCCAACCACACTCACGTGTACCTGATGACCTGAATTTCCTGAGTTGTTTGTGTAGTCCCCATGCTCAAGGTTTCCAAGGGCTATAAATGCAGTGAACAGGTGTTTGTTTGTTTTTAATTTCAGAGGAAATATTCATTAAGGAACTACCTGAGATTTTTCACTCCAAAAGAGTGAAAAGAAGGCCAAAGAAGTAATTTATCAACTAGTAAATGAAAATATGGTGGCCATTATAAGCACACAGAAGGTAAGGTAGACCATGCTTCATATAAAATTGATTTAATTTAACTATAGTATAAAAGGTAAGGGAGGATGAAGAAATGGAAGGAATAAAATAAAATATAGAGCAAAGAAAAAAATAATAAGCATTAAAAAGGGGAGCATTTATTACAAATAAGAATTATTTTTGTAATTTGTAAATTGTAAAATTTGTAAAGGTTTTGTAAATTGTTCTAGGATTCTTAATTGGACGAAGATTTTTTTATTTTTTTACTCTACCTTATTAGTTCCCTATCTTCTTTCCGAGGTTGTCCCCATTGACTTTATCCCAATGAACATACTCCAAAATAAAACCTCATTAACTCATTATTGATACAATTATAAATTTTACCATACTTTTAAAACAAATGTACTAGTTTAAACTAGTTATACTAGTTTAAAATATTGAAATAATTTGGATAAACTGCTCATTGGAAGATCTTAGTTACAAGGGACCATAACATGATCTAGTCTAGTGCCCACATTTTTTTTGATGAAGAACCAGAGACAAACCATATCCAGACTGGGTTTTGAGGCTTATGTTCTTTATAAACCAGAATTCTGATGTTCCTACCAGGAATTTCTTATTTTAAGAAAGAATTCACAAGATAATCCATAAAAACATGCATGAAGACAAAAATCTGCTTTTTTCCTGTTTTCTGTAATATAAATAGTCAAGTTAGAATTTTGGATGTATTGCAGCTAACACAAAAGAAAAACAAATCTGAAAAATGAATTTATGAGTTCTGGATAGTGTGGCATCTGGACTAGTAGGAAATTCTGACTAAAGAGATACTCAAGTTGTGGAATTTTTTTTTTTAAGAAAGACATAAACCACCAGAGAAAAACATCAGTGCTTGCTTATTTGCTTCTTTTGCTAATAACTTTTTCTAATTGAGTTTTTAGGGAGGAAGGAATTTAATTGGTTATGCTATTGAGAAGAAAGGTTGGCAGACTGGAGTGAGATTTGAAAAAAAAATATCAATAGATAGAGTATTGTCTGTTAAATTTGCTTTCACTGAGGCAGACTGAAAATGAAGCCCAGCCCACTTCCACAGTGCTGCTGAAAGTCATGACATCAGAAATGTTTTAAGATGCTGAGAGCCAAATTGGCTTCTGTGTTTTCAATTTCTCCTTGGGAATCTGGAAGCTACAATTATGAAAAAATAGAGGAGGGGCATAAAAAAGAGATCTCATTCTTTCCCTAATAAAACACACGACTGTCCACCATAATCTATTCTATACCTGAAAGGATTCCATGCAATGGTTCTACTGCAAATTCCACACTGAGTGAATGAATTATAAATTACCTGGAAGATGACATTTGATAAGTAATAGTGCACGCTGGTAATGTTAAATTTTACAAGGGTTCATGTACTTCGGTGATTGAACTTCACCTATGCAATTATAGATCCATACATTGCTGAATATCATGGTGACGAGATGATTAAATTATATTTAACAAAAATAATTAGAAAGAACACAACCAAGGGGAAGTAAATGACATAACAAATAGAGCCAAAGTAATGGGAAATTCTAACAAATCAAATCAAGTACAGCAACAGGTTCTTTTAGACACGTAGCAATTCTATAAACAAACTTAGAGCCTAGAACTTAGAAGTTCTATGCTCATTCATTTAGTGAACTAATTCATGCTATAACAAAAGTACTTATCCTCTCAACTTTATTTTGTATTTTGAAGTCAAATAGAATAGGGATAACTCCTAACTCAAGCTCCTAAACCTATACTTTTAAAGATTTGTCTTGGGTATCTGCCCTCATGGAAGGGAGAAATATTATGGACATTGCTGTTGAATGTCAGAGGTTTTAAATTTTCTTTTGGCCATTAGTTTTGCTTCATTGGCCTGAGCAACATTTAAAATCTCTTTCAGCCTCAGAATTTTCTTCTGTAAAATGGTATTAACAGCACTTAATCCACTGGATTTTAGAGACTAAACGAAATAATGCTAACTGAATACTACTCAATAAACCAATGTGCCTCCTTCTCTCTATCCTGCTTTTTGGTAGATTAGCAAACCTGAGAATCTTCATAATTATTTGCAGTCAGTTTGCATAGCTCCATTAGAAGTGGTGAGTAATTCATAAGTCTTATTTTTAGTGCTTTTCCTCTTGAGAGAATGAGAGAGTTAAAGTGCTTCCAGTCAAGTGTAAGCATAAATTACATGGCATCATTCAAGATCAATTTGCAACATTAATAATAGTTATATGATCTGTCAGCATGTATTAGTGCTTGGCAAGAGAAAACTAGACTGGAAAATTAGCAAGGTTGAAGGTGAAGAACAAAATGCCCTGCTTAACACACACAGACCTGGGAGCACAACCTATCTGGGAATCACTTCCACTTTCAAAGGCCTGGAAATGTGTAGCTAGAAAATGTCTGTGTTTCTAAAAGAAAGTCATTTCTCACCAGCAAGGGTACCTGAGAGAGAAAAAAGTGAGTAAAGCTGAGTTTACTTCAAGAAAACCGAACTTCACCATAAAAGTATCTTTTGCCATTTTTGAATTCTTTACTTCCATTATTAAACTCATTTTAAGGCCACTCCTATACAATCACATATACTCCAGAATATATACACGTCTTAAGGGTGTTAAATAATATGAGCCCTGGCTGGCAAGGCTCAGTGGATTGAGTGCTGGCCTGTGAACCAAAGGGTCACTTGTTTGAATCCCAGTCAGGGCGCAAGCCTGGGTTGCGGGCCAGGATCTAGCATGGGCCACATGAGAAGCAACCACACACTGATGTTCCTCTCTCTCTCTTTTTTCCTCCCTTCTCCTCTTTCTAAAAATAAATAAAATAAATCTTTAAAAAATGGTAATGAAAAAATACAATAACAATTTAAAAAAGAATATATACGTCTCATGGGGAAACAAACTGTTCTGACATACTAAAACACCTACTTAAAAAACTTGTGAAACCTCTCTTCTCCTTGCCATTCCTGAAAGATGTAAGCTGCAGACTGAAGAGTCCTTAGGATGTAGAAGAATACACGCACTCAGAATTTCGAGGCTAGAAATTTAGCAATTTCCAGCCAGCAGAGGGCTCCCTGCTTTAACACGGTTCTGCACACGCCACGTTCAGCAAGAACTGTTGGTAAGGGACAACAGTAGGATTTAATACTTGTTACGGGCTTATGTATTTGCTGCACTCCGTGTTAAATTGAAAAATATAAGAGGATGAATGAGGCAAAGGCAAGTTCCCGCTTCTGACACTTGAGATATAATTTATTTTTTATTATGCAAAATTTAATCTTCCTCTGTTTTTCCAGTTTGAAAAATAAATGTGCTTCAACCCTACCTCATGCATCCACACACATACCTGTTGTATGATTCTTTTAATAATTAACTTTTCTCTGTTCAAAGCTTAACTAACATTTTTAAAATAAGGCTAACCAATTGATCCGTGTCTTTAACCCAACAATGAACATCAGCGGAGATCAAGGGAGGACAACATTAACTGATTTGGTGCTTATACCTTCAATTATTTAAGTTGTAACTTTAAATCTAAGAAATATTGGAGGGATGTAATAACAAAAGTTTCTGCTGCTATCTGTCCTTTATTCTTTGAGCCCTCCCTGTTTATCCCTGTCAGTTCTCCCCTAATGAAGCACTTGGGGGATTTTTACAATACTGATGAATAATGTACATACAACAGCTGGGGCAATTTTATTTAGAGAGTTTTATTAACATTATTGTGACAATTTAAAATAACACAGAATCACTGCCTGGTCTTCAATCTACCAAAACAAATTTACTAAACACATTAGCCATATGTATCACAAATTAATCTGTTGAGTAAATTAATTCTGACATAGTCTATTCATTTTCATTTTGGTGATATCTTTTTCTATAATGCAGATCTTTAGGTTTTGTGGTTTTCAAAGGTAAATATAATTCTAGGCGGACAACTCTTGTAATACATTTTTATGATGACAAATATACACCTTAGCACAATTTTAGCAGAATGGTTTCCTATAGCAAAGGTGTCAGACAAGGATGTATTTTATTTCCCTATTTGTTTAATATGTACACAGATCACATCAGATGTAAAACTGGGCTATGCTCAGAGGAATGAGGAGTGAAAATTGGTGGAAGAAATATCAGTAACTTAAGATAGGCAGATAATAGTTGCAATAATTTGAAATGACTGCTGATGCAAGTGAAAGAAGAAAGTGCCAAAGCAGGACTCCTGGGCCAACAGGAACATGTACAAGAGGGTCCTACAGCATCTGAAGTCTGATACACCGTTGGAGGCAAAACTGACAAAAGTGAAGTTGTTCTACATTGGGCACATCATGAAAAGGCAGAATTCTTTGGAAAAGAGAAATGCTGGGAAAAGCATAAGGCAGCAGGAAAAGAGGAAGACCAAATAAGATGGATTGGCTGCGTAAAAGAAGCCATAGGCCTGAGTCTACAGAAGCTAAGTAGAGCTGTGGAGGACAGGACATTGTGGGCATCACTCATTCATAAGGTTGCCAGGAGGTGGAGTGCACTCAACTGCACGTAACGCGAAACATTTTAGCAAACAGCAAAGGAAAAGTTGTCAAATCAATGCAAGTGACATATTCACTCCTTTTACTAGTTTTGTTTTCTCCCTTCCTTTTCTTATTCTCATTGGCTTAGATGCTACCGGTGTATATAACATCATTATATTTGAAATCATTTGTTGAAAACTATCGATAAAGTAACTGCAACTGACTTTAATTTTAACAGAGAATAATAAATGTGGAAAGCAAGCAACAGTAAATAAGTATATTATCTTTCACTAAGTAAATTATTCACATAATTATTATATAAGATACTTATTTTTATAGGCAATAGTAATATATTATGGTTGTAGACAATTAATTAAAACAAGAGAATTGTGTACAAACTTAAATTATTTCCAAAGGCCAGAAGCAAGTTGACTCATGCTTCTTACTCCCCAGAAAGCAACGCAGATGGAAAAAAAAATCTGAAGAAATAAAACACAAAGAAGACAAACAATTAAAATAGAATCAATACTTTTATTCAAGTGAGTTAAAATATAGATAAAATTAACATAAATATTTTAGATGGTTAAATTATTCAAACTGAATGTGGCAGTTGCTCACTGACAGAATCTATCCAACCCAGCTCAAAGCACATTATGTGAAGACAAAAATGGGAGTAAAAAGTTTTGTCTCCCTGGATTTTCTTTTTCCTTTTTTTTTAATTGTCACAAACCTGGGTCATTCATAGGGATGGGGCTATGTAAATTAGATATTGAATGAAATAGACTTTCTTTTGGCACTTGGGCATACTGCATATTGTATGTATTGTATTAAATGATCTCATTGTTTATATAGTTTAAAAAACTTTTGGAAAAGGAGAAATAAAAACATTATCAAAGACTAATATTGCCTCTCTGAGGCAATATAATCTAGCATATTATGAACTTCACCCAACATGAATTAAATTCTAAACATTACTATGAACCTACCTTCTCAATCTTTTGATCTTATCAATTATAAAAATGTAACTGCAAAATTCTCTTTAAAATTAAAGATATAACTAAGTCATAATAAGCAGCTATAAGAGTTTATTGAGTGTACTCTTTACTTTCAAGTAATACCACACGTTCTCAATAAATCATCAAAAATTAGCCATATAAAACTCTTAATTTCTAATGGTCCTCATGAAAATGACTATACAGCCATCCTTACTTAGTAAGAATTCACTGTTGTAGAAGTTTTCACTATGTGTAATCAAAATGCCACAACACACATTTTTACTTCTCTTGAGATAAAATCCAGGCACTAGTCATATTCTTTACACTGTTAGATCTTTCTAAGCTTATTCTTCCTCTTAACCTATGTACCAAAATTAAGCTGTTGGATTGCTTATATGATCACTACATGTGGTGTTATTAGTGTGATAATGAAAAAGAATGATACACAAATAACTGAGGTTAATGGGATAGCTGTGCAAGAGTTTCTATTTTTTTAATTGTGTAAACTTCCTCTCCAAACTTTTAAAATGTGACCAGTTGCCTTTTTCCAAGAAGAAGATCACTATTTTTGAAAGATCCATAAAAATCCACAAAGGAGCACATTTAACAATAAGATGGAGGCATGGGAAACATTCTGGGGTTTGGACTGACATGAAACCAAGGCAATTAATTGAGGACAGCCACTAATTCACAGAAAATACCTTGAACTGTGGTAATTTTTCTATTAAAGGCAGAACATGGCAAACAATATTAACAACAACATAACCCCCTGAAACACTGATATTTAGATTTTATGGTAGATTGTTCAGTTTCAGATGAAGATTTTAGTTCTTTCTAGAGAACTATTTTTCTATACATTCTCAGATAGGAGAGTTTTCTTCAAATCCATGCATTCCTTTCAGCCTATAACATCCACAATATGAAAAAATGCCCAAAATGAAATCAACAATTATATTGAAGCAGAAGTCAAGAATAATATTAACATTTTGGAGTTACCTCAGAAATCAAATACAATATATTTAAAGTCTGGTTTTGATTTTGTTTCTTTTGACTGTAATTCAAGAGAAATGACCTCATGGGATTTCTCATGATGGTGCCAGGTAAAATAATACCAGGATTCGGGAGTATTTGTGAAAGGTTTCAGATTGTGCAATGAATTGCATTTGTCTGCAAAGATGGGTTAATGTTGAAGAGGGATAGCTGAGAAAACAACTTTCAAGTGAGACAGAAATGATAAATCTAAAACATCAGGATAAATAGTTTAATTTGGATCCATGATATTCATTGAGCAGCTAATAGCTACCTTGTGTTGTGCAGGGTCCGGGAATCTGAAATATATTTGGCAATAGAAGTTTTTATTGGTTTTGAATCTAGTGTCTAGGGTCATAAGGATTATTTCCATGAGTGAAGGTTAGGGAGAATGATTTCAGTGAAACCTCTAAATCTGTACGTAAAAATTTGTGAGTATGTCATAATTCTTCTTTTTCCCACTTCCCACACTTTAGGTGATCCATATTTCATCTGGGATTTACAGAAATATTAAGAACTTCTGATCTAGCATGAAAGTGAAAAAGATAACGATTCTAGTTCATGCCTTTGTTGTTATCTACCACTTCACAACTAAATCTCCCCATTTTGAAAATACAGTCACGTCCTATTTCCTTTAGGACACATTCTTATTAAAATACAAAGATCATGTCTTTTCCAATTTTCTAAAATGCTTTCAGCTTCTTACCAAAAAAATGCAATGTTGCACACTGCAGTTCTATTTTGTTTCTCTGTGTTTTTCTAGGTCCCGACATTTTATCCTTCCAAACAGATGGGGTAGCGGGGAAGCTGATGAAGCATAGGGATTAGATTTGGATTCAAATTAATGCACCGCGAGACCCTTGCTTGGGCTAGGCATTTTCACAGGTACATTTACAAGATTAAGATGTTTAATTCTCATGAGAAACCATAGATAATTGGTATCCAGTTTGCTGATGAGGCAATGGGAGCTCAGAATTTATGTGGTTTACCAAGAAATCACAAACTACAAAATATCAGAGCTGGGATGATGTTTTTCATTTATTTAATGTCCCCCAGATAATCTAACTGCACATCCTTGGAAGTCAGTTCAATGAATATGAACATCAATAGTGAATTCATTTCCTCTTTTTTAGTCATCACCTGCACTCGTCTGGTGATTTTTGAGTCAAAAAATGCTAGGTTTCCGAGACCATTTCACAATCAATATTTTAAGCATAAATGGATTTTTTATATATAATGAAATCCAGATTGGCACGGGAGCATAGACATTACATACAATGAATATGTGCTTCTCAAAATATGTATAACCCTGAAATATTAACCCTGTTCCATTAGAAAATAAGCAGAAAAATACAGATTTGCTTTTATATTTTTGGACATATGTCTGCGCACATGTGTGATCTAAATATACACTATACAATTATTTGTATATTCTACACTATAAAATTATTTAGTTAGGACTCAATATAATCACTTGATTATTGCAATTATTCCATTTTGAATTTTCTCTTATTCAACTTTTCTCTTGATTTTCATATTAAGCTGTGATATTAGTTCTCCATAGTTGGTAATTAAATGTATCACTTGAGATTCGTTCATTAACACATGTCTCAACCAACTCTCTTAAGTGAAGATAATAGAATTACTAGTTAGGCTACTAAAAGAATATATGGCAACCATAGTGGGTTTTTTGGCAATCTCCTTCTCTAATCTACAGATATGCTGTTTCTGTATATGTACAAACTCAGCAAACACTTATTTTAGCCTAAGTCTGGGCAAGTCCCATGATTTTAACACCTGGATTCAAAATATGGAACAGAGGAAGTTCACTCTTGGTGTCAAGCCCTCCTTGCGCTAACACATCATTAATGGTCCTCGTCTTCAGGCTATTTCCTTGACTTCCTAGGGCCCTCGACTCTGATGCCTGAACTTTGGCCTGTACAGATGCTCTCCACATTTCCTCCACCCCTTTCCAGAAAGTTCATCAATTGGCAGGTGGCTAATCTGAGCCACTGATCCACACTAAAACACCAGTGGGAACTGATGTGTTGTTATTTTGCTGGGCCTCCCCATTGTGTCTATTTTAAGAGGCTTTATTAAAAATGGCTATACTTATGAGCAAAGCAGGCATCTAATCTTAAAAAAAAGAGAAAGTATAAGAAGAGGTATTGGTGTGCGTGTGGCCTCTCCTCAAACTGCTGCCCCCTTAAATTACAAAGCTAGTGGATTATTCTTACAACAATGTACATATCTATCTCACTTGGTTTAAATCCATCTATGGTATTTATTAATAAATGACCTAATTAGAAAAGAAAATTAAATATTGCCTTGAGAAGTGGACAATTTTCATTAGAACTATCAACATCTCATACTTCAAATCATTTAGTCATCAGATAAGCTTGTAAATAAAATGAAAGCTTTAACATACTCACAAGAGAAATAAAGGCTCTGATATAGTACAAACTTATTTTGATTTTCAACCATGTATTTATTGTTATAAATATCAACATAGAAAAACACTCACTGAGATATAATTCCTCATATAATTATGTGCCTTTTTGTAGTAGTAATATAATTAACTTGTTTTTTCAACATCTTAAATTACTAAAAAGATGAATGAACATAAGTTAAGTCATTTTGTAAATGATGGTTAGAATATCTTGCTAAGTTCTATCTTGCCAAGGAAGAAACTTGAAATATTTTAAATCTAAAATAGCATTTCTGTGAGCATTTTAGACTTAATAACTTTCAAATAATTTAAGGAATATATTACTATTAACTTGACTATATAAATTTGCCTGAAATGAATGTCCCTTTTTGTATCCTCAACAAATAATAACCTGTCTATAAATGGAAGAGTATATTTCTTTAACATTGATGAGATTCATAAAATCCCAGTTAACCACTTATTTAACACGATTATAACAACCATACTAACAATGATTTGTTTTAATGGAAACACACTAATCATACAGAAGTTTTAATAAAATTCTTTGGAGAAAAATAAAAGTAATTCTTTCTTAAACATACTTTTTTACATACTACGTTGGTTTTTTAGAGATATTATTTGTTGTGCAGATAAGAGCTTAAACAGAGATCACACCCAAATTTCTAGAAAATATCTCTATTTCCTATTAATGCAAGAGAACAAATAAACACAAACAGAACTAGAGTAGAAACTGAACTCAAATGTACTGAAGATTATTTTGAAATGAAAATATTAGGACTATATTAGATAATGATAGACTTTTTCCCCCCTAGAATTTTGCAAGGTCATAATTTGACAAATGTCAATTCAAAAGAAATTGGGAATTATTCTTCCAGGTATCCTACATATGACCAACATACTAAGATGCACATGTAGACAAACAAACAAAGATTTAAGAGAAAGACTTGCAGACACTGCACCTATTACTGGAAAGTTTTGTGTTCTCTCTCTGTGTTTATTTCTATAT